AGACGGAAGTGAGCGCCAGAGTGCGTAGAGATTCCGCCGTGTAGTCGGCGAAGTTTTTGGTCCGTAGGGACAGCTCGAGCTACAGGCAAGAGCGTGGGTTTACCGCTATCGAGCGAAGACGCGGGCAACAGCTGCGTGTGTGAAGCCGACGGATTTCCGGCGAAGAAGTTTGAAGCTTGGAGAGTGGCCATTTGAGGACGCGAGGTTTCCTGGAAGAGAAACTTCGAGAGCTACGGAACGACAACAACGCTGGACTTTGAGTGAGTGATTCTCGGAAGAGTATCATTCAGACTTTTGTTCCAAGGACTTTGGACTGAATAGGTTTTCTATCTCTTTAGTCCTTAAGCGTCTTGGTTGTTCAATGCATGCGACTGCATTGTAGTGCGTATTGTTGTCTGTGTCCGTTGTTTTGAGTGTGGCCGATGGTACCGTGTAGTACGTTGTTTGATTGGTGACGTATTGTATGTAACTAGTGTGGAGTGTGCATTTTTGTGTATTATTTTCGATCTGCCATTATTGAGAATATAATTTGTTTGTTTATCAACTCTCGGCTCTGACTTGTTCTTTGGGGCCACAGCCGGCTTCCGCTGGCGCACCAAAAAGGACCACTTCTAAATTGTCTACGCTTTCGTGGTGCGGTTCGGGGGGCCGATACTTCGGCTCTTGGAATTAGCCCGGCGATTGCCTCCCTAATAAACGGGACATGTGTGACAGCGAGACAGGACTACTCTTGTTCCATCTAAGAAGAGCATCACATCGCATATGCGTGTGTAACGATCGATGATAGAGGCAGATAAGCTGATGTTAATCGGAAAGGAATTGGGGTTAAGTGGCTCAGCTCTAAAAGATTGGATAGACCAAGAACGCGCATGCGAAAAAGAGACACGTGACGCTCGTCTGGCTGAACGAAATGTTGCGAAAGAAGCCGAGGCAGAGGCAGTCGCTGGATTACAAGCAGAGAAGAAAGTTCTTGAGCTCAAGTTAAGGTTGCATCAGTTAGGTGCAACAGCAGATAGCACAACTACTAGGCAGCTTAGAGAGAGTGGGCCCGTAGGCATCACGCAGAGCTACGAAAGTCCACATAAACTCATCCCGGCCTTTAACGAGGCACGCGATGAGCTGGACACATATATACAGCAATTTGAGAGCGTCTCTACTAGTCAAGACTGACCGCAAGACAAATGGTCCCCTATCACTAAGCCTTTGCTTGACCAGAGAAGCCTTGAGTGTAGTTGGTAAGATGGCACCTGAACATGCCATGGACTATATAACGTTGAAGAAAACACTACTACAGCTTTAGGTTTACGGAAGAAGGCTATCAGACAAAATTTCGATCAGCAAAACCAGATAATTCTGAAACGAACATGCAGTTTGCCGGGCGTCTATTAGGTTATTTTGACCATTGGCAAGAAATGGCCAAGACCGACCGGACCTACAATGCTCTTCGAGACAAAATTGTCTCGGAGCAGTTTCTTGCACAATTCCGCAAGAAACTCGTTGTTTTTTTTAAAGAAAGAAACTGTGAAAGCCTTGAGAAACTTGTGGAGGCTACAGACCACTACTTGGAGGCCCAGGGGTTGATTAACCTTGGCACATGTAAAGGCGATAACCTGAGCAAGCCTCCAGGTCAAACTCGAATGTCTGAGCGGCAAGACGACAAAAAGAGATCACAGTGCTTCCTTTGCAACAAAAAGGGTCACAGAGCTGCTGATTTCTGAACCAACACAAAGTGTCCAGGTACAAAGCCACCCTATTGAGGAAAATGTCGCCGCACCGGGCATAATACAGATGAGTGCCACAAAAAGGCCTCATGCTCTTTTCAACAAAGAGATGGAGCCAAGGTAATTAATTCAGAGTCGCAAGCTTCCCTTTGTGTTCCTTATAGTGTGGAGTGTGCAGAAACCCACCCAGCTAAGCTGAAGGAAAAATCGATGCCCACTGGCGAAGGTGTACTCGAAGGACATCCCGCAACAGTACAGTGAGGTACCGGACGCGATTCCATCATTGTCAAAAAGTTTCTCGTGGCAGATAGCAAGCTGATTGGAAAGATTTTCTTGATTTGCCTCTTGAATGGACGGTTGATAAAGCTGCCTGAAGCACACGTGAAAATAATTTCACCTTTCTGCACTGGCAAGACTTCACCTCTTTGCATAGATAACCCTTTATATGATATTGTCTTGGGAAACGTGGAAGGCGTTCGAAATGCTCACAATCTTGATAATGATTGGAAGAGCCATATTTACACCCGGAACACTGCAGAAGAGTGTTCTGGCTCAGAAAATTCCGGTTCTACACACGAACCCTTGTATGCAAAGACTTCGACGTCGGCTGCAAGGAAAACATGTTTCAAGACAAATGTTATTGCAGTAAACCGACAGGCAGGAAATTGACATCTACTCCCGGCTCCAGTTATTAACCCCTTGGACATCAGCCCACAGGATTTCAAAATCAAACAAGAGGAAGACAGCAGCCTGCGGAAATGCTTTGAAGCCGTTAACAAAGAGGTCAAAACAAGGTTTGCTAAAATATTGTCCTTCATGAAGGACAGAATCCTCTATCGCAAGTACACCTTTTACTCTAAGAGGCAGGTGAGTCAGCTTGTGGTACCAAGGTGCCTCCGACATTTTGTGATGAAAATGGCTCATGAAGGCATCCTTTCAGGCCATCAGGGAATTAATGAACCAGGGGTTCAGTCAGACATCACACGATTCGTTAAATCCTGTGATATATGTCAAAGAACTATTCCCAAGCACTTGGTGGGTAGTGTACCACTCGGCGACACTCCTATAATTGTCAGAGGGTGGAAACAAATATGTACTGACAATGGTGGACATGGCAACGCATTATCCCAATGCTGTAGCACTGCCGAGCATCGAGACGGAGAAAGTTGCTGAGGCGCTTGTGGAGATGTTTTCTCATGTAGAAGTCCTACGGGAGATAATCAGTGACAGAGGCACGTCATTCTCGTCACACCTAATGAAGGAGCTAAGCCGACTACTCTCCTTCAAACAACTGCCAACAACTGCCAACAACTGCCCATCATCCCATGGCTAATGGCTTTGTAGAGAGGTTCAACGGCACCCTGAAATAAATGATAAGAAGAATGTGTCAGGAGAGTCCGAAGAAATGAGACCGATACCTGGCGCCCTTACTCTTCGCTTATCGCAAAGTTCCCCAGTCGAGCTTAGGCTTCTCCCCGTTTGACTTGCTCTACGGCTGTTATGTCAGAGGTCCCCTGTCGATATTGAAAGAATTATGGGCATCTGATCATCTTGATGATGATGTAAAAAACTCCTACAGGTACGTAATCGAACTGCGGAATTGTCTTGAAGATACCTGCCATTTAGCCAAGGAGAAGCTTCAGAAAGCGAAGATAGTACAAAAGAAGCATCATGACCAGAAGACCAGACCATGTCAACTATCCCCTAGAGACAAAGTTTCGCTACTGCTTCCATCGGATACCAACAAATTGGTTCTGACGTGGAAAGGACCCTTTAATGTCCTTGAGAAGAGAAATGATGTTGATTATTTAATTGACCTCGGTACAAGAAACATGCTACTCCACATAAACCTACTGAAAAAGCATGAGGAACGGCCGCCTGCACCACCGCATAAAGCATCAGCTGTTTGCCAGGCGGATGACACTGAAAGTGACGAGCTACTATGCGTACCATTTTAACAAAAGGAATACTGCACCCAGTGTCATACGCAAACTGTAGACTGCAAAAACCTGAAGCTGCTTACTCTACAGGGGAACGAGAGGCTCTGGCTCTTACGTGGGTGGTCCGGAAATTTCACATCTACTTAATCGGACGCATGTTCATTCTACAAAGTGACCACAAACCGCTTGTGTACATCAAGTCAGCCAAACATGTGAACAGCCGCGTGTTACGGTGGAGCCTCATTTTTATAGAATACGACTTTTCGGTCGAGTATATAAAATGCAGTGACAACGTAGGCGCAGATTACATGAGCCGTTTGCCAACTCCGTGAGCAACGTCTGCATAAAGAATCGATGCCCAGTGATATTAATGGCTTGTGATGTGAACCTTGCTGCGTGATACAAGTATCATGACGCTCTAGTTCTTTGACTTGTTTTTATTTTTTTCCTTGTGTGTACTTTTGTGATCGAATGTGCCGAGTGTGAGCGGCTCGAAACTGCTATAATGTGAAGTGGTACTTACGTGTGTGCTTCCGTCTGTGAACCAATGTGTCCCCAGTGCCCTCACGTTTTTCTACCAGAAGAACTTTCTTAAGTAGGGGGTGATGTGATGTAGTAGCTTGGAAAATGCAAGCATAGTAGACAACAGCACCACATTACCTGGAAGATGACAAGAATGAAAGGGCATTGAAGTGCGCTCAATGAAGAAAGAAAAGAAAACGCTTGCGCAGAACGAAGCTGTTCGGACGCCGACAAGACGTCGCAAGAGAGCATAGGGCAAACCCGCAACTATGCGCGAGGTTCGAAAGGCCAGGTTCCTGTCTTCAAGTCATTGATGTCCTCGGAGCACGGCGTGTCGGCGCGGCCAGGTACGAGTTTTGGGTGAGTAATCCTGCGGATATCTCCGGTACGGTCCGTGCCCTCGAGAGACCGGAGCTGCCGACAACGTCCAGCTAGCCGACGTCGCTGACAGTGTGCGACTACGCCTAGACCTGGTGATGCCCTCTACAGTGGTATGCTGACCTGGCACCCAAGCGACTGCATCCCAGCATGCAAGGGGTCCCATTTCAAGGCACTGGGCTACGTCTCAGACTGTGAGACTCTTTGTTCTTTTCTTATGTGTGTGAACCGCGTGCGTGTAGGATGCCTACTACTGTATTTGCAGTAGTCTTTTTCCCGTCCAATATAACTTCATTTTGTTTTCCTCACTGTCTTCATCTTCCTTGCATCCCACGCCTTGCCACGTGACGAACCTAACCACGACAACCATTCCCAATGCCGCGGCGGCACCTCTTAATGCTGTGCGCGAAGAAGGAAATAAGAAAAGGAAAGAAAAGACTGTGGCAGATTGTTTGCTCTCTCTCAAATGCCGATCTGAGACGCGCCTCTGCCATGCTTCTCCCTTTTCCATCTCTGCACATAGAGACCCTTTTTTTTCAAGGCCGAGCGCAGAGAGAGATGGAAAAAAAAGCTGTCGCGGAAAGTCGTCCTTTCTCAATGCAGAGGGTAGCAGCCATGGTAGCAGCAAAGACGCAGTCGTTGTCGTCGTGACAGGGAAATCGCTTTGGACCGCGGCACCACTTCTCGGTCATGTGACCTACTGAGCACTTCCTCAATCATCTTTGCTGGTTGTGTGATGAGGACGGCTCTGTCGGCCACGCGTGGCGTGGCTGTAAGGTCGGCGCTAGAGTTTTGAAAAAGTCGTGCAGAAAACGATATACTTGACACACTATGGTAGTTTTTTTTATAGACTATGAATAGACTAATTTAGTTCGTTATATCCATTTATCAGTCAATTTTACTTCATTACAATGAGGTTTAAAATGCATGTTTCTCAATGGAGCTTTCAAGGAGAATTTGATTTCTTTCGTTATATCCATTATTTTGTAATATCCCGTTACATTATAACAAGGTTTGAGTGCATAAGTATCGACGGGAGCACGAAGATGCTGATACATTGTCACATGCACCCATTCATCTCCTCAGTAAGGAAGAGGAGAATGATGACAGTTTCCTGGGCCCCCTTAGCTCATCGGACCGATATTACATGTAGCTACACATTTTAAATGCGAAGCATTTCTTAGCAAACTTCGGTGACTATGAACATCTGTCTCTCTGTCTGTCCAACTACGACCTTTAGCTCTCCTGGCCGTTTCAATAATGGTATCGAAACCAAAATTGGTATGACATAACATGATTGTATGAGGAGCATGACTGACTAGTCATAACAAAAATCATGACATGTATGTCATGATCGCTACATTGTTATGTGGGGTTTAATGTTCCAAAACCACCATATGATTAGAGAAACACCGTAGAGAAGTGCTCCGAAAATTTCAACCAACTGGGCTTTTTCAACGTGCACCCAAATCTAAGCACACGGGCCTACGACATTTCTGCCTCCATCGAGAATGCAGTCGCCGCAGCCGGGATTCGATACCGCGACCTGCGGGTCAGCAGCCAAGTACCTTAGTCACTAGACAACCGCGGCGGGCATGATTGCTACATTGACATGTAAGTCTTGCTGCTCTTGCAGTGGTTTCGTTCTTGTAAAACTGGTATAGTATGACATGACTGCTTGGTGAACAAAAGTAGAAATCATGACACGGCGTGTCACGTTAGAACAGGATCACAAGCCACGCTCATGATGTGCTCGCGGCCGTTTCACTAGCTTCAAATATAGCAAATTTGGTATTACGTCATGCGAATGGACAACAAAGGCAAATGACACGTCCAAACGTGATAATCATGACATACGTGTCATGTAAAACATGACTACATTCTACGCTCATACTGCAGTTGCAGTCGCTAGCTTCACATATACTAAATTTGGTGTTACGTGACGTCAATCAATGATGAAGCTATATTAGTGGTGCAAACAAGATAATCATGAGATGCCTGTCATGAAAGAACATGAGTACATGCCACGCTCATGATGCATTTGTGGTTGTTTCTCTAGCTTCAGATATGCCAAATATGGTATTACAGGACGTAAATGAATGATGAAGGCATGTGACTGGTGCAAACACGATAATCATAGGATGCATGTCATGTTAGAACATGACTACATGCCATGCTGATGATGCGCTCTTGGCCGTTTCACTAGCTTCACATATACCAAGTCGTTTATTACGTGATGCGAACGGACAACGAAGGTGAAACACATCCAAAAATTATAATCATGACAAGCGTGTCATGTAAAACATGACTACCTGCTACGCTCATAGTGCACTTGTGCTCATTTCACCAGCTTCACATATACAAAATTTGGTATTATGGGACGTGAATAGATTACGAAGCTATATGACTGGAGCAAACATGATAATCATGATATGCGTGTCATGTAAAACATTAATACGTGCTTCGCTCATAGCGTGCTTGCAGCCGTTTCGCTAGCTTCACGTGTACAGTCGTATCTCGATAATTCGAACTCGAAGGGGCCCAAAAATTTGTTCGAATTAAAATAAGTTTGAATTATTGAAAGCTAAATAAACGGAGTGCTCCCCATGCAGTGGAGCATGTGCATTGCGCTAACAGACAAGGGGGAAGTTTCAGACGACTTACATTTATTCACAAATCACAGGACATTCGTCATTAATTGAAGTAGTCGGTGATGCGCGTCTGCACAGATTTGCCTTGCAGCGAGTTAATCAATTTCGCACGCAGCTTGCAAGGCATTTCTACTTCGGCTTCAGCATTCTCTTGGCAAGAGAAGTTGTGCGGAAATGTCTAGCGCCGACACTTTCTAAAGATGACGACAACAATAATTGTGTAGCCGAGCCACAGCATGGCCAGCACGTGACAAGAAAGAAGGAGCGTCTCCACGCGGAGAGAAGTAGATCGGCATTTGAGAGAAAACCCCACGGCAGTTTTTTTTTTTTTTTGCTCTCCTCGCACGTGCCGTCGAAAGGAAAAGGGTTACGTGGCAGGGACGGGAATGGGGGAAGCATGGCATTGGCGCGTGAGAGACCCCCCTCCTCTCAAGGCGCAGAGCCATGCTCCCGCAAGGGGCAAGGGCTGCAGAAGATAGCGCCATTTTCCTTTCTTTAAACCACACATTCATTCAACCCAGCGACAGCTTTCTTTTTTTTTTCCCCTCTCTCTTTTCGCTTGCGGCGTTGGAAGGGGAAGGGTCTTTATGTGGCAGGAACAGAAAAGAGAGAAGCGTGACACGGGCACTTCGCATATCGGCGTTTGAGAGCGAGCAAACATTACCCCGCAACCTTTTCTTTCTTTTTAATTTTTTTTGCGTGCAGCGTTGAGGTGTCGCAGGTGCCGCCGCGGGATTGGGCAGGGTGCTAAGAGCATTTTCGGAGTGCGGCATGTTCAAATTAACCATCGCTAGTGCTTGCGCGTTCAAATTACCAGGCATTTTCACCCATTGGAATACACATAGCTCTGACGGGATCTCATCGTGAGTTCGAATTAACCAGAAGTTCGAATTAATGATATTCGATTGTACCAACTTGGTATCACTAAACGTGAATAGAGAAAGAAGGTAAATGACACATCCAAATATGATAATCATGACATGAAAGTTGTGTACAGCATAATTTACATCTGCCTTGTAACGATGTGTGGATTTTAAAGTGACATATAAATTTTCCTCATTCGTGCTTCACTAACATGGATTCCCACTGAACGTGGGGTCTGCCAATTTTTTTTCTTTTATTACTGTACAAAAACTCAAATGCTTGTTATTTCGAGAAAAAAAATGAAACAGCTTTCATACAATCTTAGCAGTTCTGGCACTTTCACTTCTCATGGAACACTGCAAAATGCCTTTTCTATCAATGCGAGGTGACCCTCACAAGCTTTCACTGCAGACTTTCCTGTTTAAATTATCTTGACAAATCTGGCTTCTCATTAACTAACCTATGTGCAGTTTGCAATGAACCAGAAACAATAAATCACTTCCTTTTTTTATGCTGCCATTTTGCCTCACTCCGCCAAATGTTTCTTGGAAGGCCGATTCTATGCTGGGATTGGCATGCAATACATTTATCTGTTATCGTTAGGAGCCAGTAAGTTATGTACAGGCCACAGTGCTCTTCTGCCTGTGCTACATAAATTCATCCAGACAACTGGAAAGACACATTGCAGGTGGTACCATCTGATAGATACATTTTCTTTTTCCCCTTCTTTTTTTTTCTTTTATAACTGGCTTCTCGAATCCTTTTGTCCTTTTCCCTTTTTTATATATGTTACGTTTCATCTTCCCGGACTCTTTTTTTTTTCTTTTTGAATTAGTGGAGCATTTAAATTTTCTATATAGTGCACAGGATGGTCGATCCCCCTTGTTCATATGAGCCGAGAATTTTGAGATGACAAAAAAACACAAAAAAACTTAAGCAGATGGCAGTGAGACAACGAAAAAATTCAACCTGTGATCGACTATTTAGAGAATCGTAGCACCATTAGACCACACTATCTATCCCAAACGTAGATGTCTTTCTGTCTCCAAGACAATGTCCTGATAAAAATGCCAGACCTGCCGGAAGGCGCAGCACATGTCACAGAGACAGCTAGAAGAACGGCCTTTCAGAGCCTTTTCGAAACACTCATTGCATTTGCTGCATGTACACTTGCTGGGTACCCACTACAGCATCAATACTAATAATTCCTGGGTAATAGGCCGGCATTCACTTATGCTATCCTTCATCATTCTTCTGAAAAGCGTGGTATCCGCTAAACACTTGCAAGGAATTTTGAGCCAATTGTTGATGCAGTGGCTGAGGACGATGAGGAATTATGTCTGAAGTGGGTATGCGCCACAGTTAATATCTAAACAAGAACAAGCTTTTGTAATAGGTTTGAGCATCCAACTACCCACTTGTTACGCTATTCGCATTGTGTGACGCTTGGTTGTTGTTTTGCTGTTCTGAAACACTTCATTGCTCATATTACCGCGATTCCCTCCCCGACATCAAGCCTGCCTAAGGCAAGTTTGCGAACAAGTCCCAAGCACCAGCGTGGCTCAGTGGTAGAATACTAAGCTGGCACGCATAGGACCCCCAGGTTCGAGCCCCACTGCGCCCTTGGTACTAGGTTTTTTTTTTCTTATTTCTGGCATAGTGATTACGAACACCAGCGGCGGCGGCGAACAACTACGACGCTATGCATGACTCGAGCTTTGATTTGATAACAGCTGTTGCTGTAAAAAAAAGAATTTCTTCTACAAGCCACAGTTGCCTCCTCATCGTTCTGAGGAACATGTGGAATGACGCCCTCTTTACATGTCATGACGAGCCCACATCTGGCTACCTACGATACTCATGCACACTCGCCAAACAAAGTAAGCAAAATGTACTACTAGGCCAGGCTTTCGGCAAGTGTCAAGTTGTACGTCAAAGGC